CTTGAGGACACGCACCATGTGTGACCCACCGGATGTGGACTTGAGGGCCGAAGCTGAGCATCACCAGTGCACCCGCATTCGGACTGGCCCTGGCGATGCATGCTGTGGGCTCGGACCGGCGAGAAAGCCCTTCTGGTGCAGTCCTGGCCAGCTGCACCCAGCAGAGCCCGGCACCAAGCTGGCCACCTCGACCAGCAGGAGGGAGCCGGCCTCGGGCAGAGCCGCTCTCCAGGGGCTGCAGGAGAGGGTCCGGGGGGCTCCCCATCCCACAGCGGGGACGTGGCTGTGGGAGAACCTCACGGGGCTGATCCGGGCCAAGCGCGGGGTCCTGCTGTGGGGTGGGGGCAGCCCCCGGTCCCGGCACAGGCGGGGGATGGAGAGATGGAGAGCAAGAGCCCCCGGCATCCCGGGCTGCATCCCCAGCAGCGTTGGCCAGCAGGGCGAGGGGGGATTGTGCCCCTCTGCTGCGCTCTGCTCTGCTCTGGGGAGACCCCCCTGCAGTGCTGCCTCCAGCTCGGGGGCCTCAGCACAGGAGAGACATGGACCTGGTGGAGCGGGGCCAGAGGAGGGCACGGAGATGCTGCGAGGGCTGGAGCTGGGGAGAGGGGCTGCATCACACCGGCTCCTGCCAGAAACCCCTGGGGACTCACCGGAGGGGCAGGGAACGGCGCGGGGATCTGCCTGCAGCCCTGGTTCTGCTCCTGCTGTGCTTGGGGGCAGGCAGGCAGCTGTGGCTCCGCGTCCGTGAAGTCATCGCTGGTCGATGGACGGGGAACGGTCTTTGTCCAACGCGCAGAAAAACTGCCGGGATGTGAAATTCCAGCCTTGTCCCAGGAGCTGGTTACAATATCAAAGTAATTTCCTGTACGCGTTTTGAATTCTAAGTCTTCATGATATTTAAATGCCAAAGAGAGATGGTAAAGGTGAATATGATCGCTTGGCAGGAAGGGGAGGCTGGAAGACACGGGCTGTTGTTGGAGCGGAAGGAAGTGTCTATAGGACACTGTGGAAAAAGCAAACCTCGTGAACGAGCGGCTTTAACCATCTGTCGTGCCTCTGCTCGCTCGGGGGCTGACCCCCTGCGTGCGCTCCGGGCTTTTCAGCGCTTCTCATGGGGCGGCAGAGCCTGGAGCTGCAGACTGGGAGCTGAAACCTCGGGGAGGTTCGAGGGGAGCGAGAATCCCGCAGCAGCTTTACCGGGAAGGAGCAGCCACCCGCAAGCAGCGGGCTGGTGCTGGGATGTTGCCAGTCGGACCTTGCCCACAACCCAGGAGCTGGTGGGAAGTTCCTCGGCTTTCGCTGGCCTCCACCAGGAGGCCTCTTTTTTTGCCGTTCTTCTCTGCTGCGAGAAAATAAATCCCACTGTGGCTTTGTTGGAGTGGGTTGCGGGTTCGCCAGTATTCAGGCTTTGAGATTTGAGGCTCATGGTGCGTTCCTGCTCTGCAGAAATGTCAGTGGTCCTCAGGATGCTGCAGGAGAGGGGTCTCCGTTGCACAAAGGCCTGAGAGCGATTTGGGTTAGGCTGTGGGAGCGGGGGGCTCCCTGCCAGCGAGGGCGAGGACCCCGGGAAGGGGCTGAGAGGATGGGAGACGGATGCGCCAGGATTAGGTCAACCTTGTCTCAGGGCAGGGAGACTGGCTGCGTCCTCTGGGGCTGCGTGGACCGAGAGCTGGTGAATGCCCAACGCGTTGTGCAGCGAGGATTTCTCTCCGAGGGAGAGTGAGCACGTGGGGATGGGCGCACCATAGGCAGAGGTACGGCCATGTGTCGGCTGAGGACCAGTGCTGGGGCCCGTGCGGAGCTCTGCCATGTTGGATCCAGTCCATGGGGCCATGCTTGACCCCGGCCACTGTTGGAGGCGGAAGCTCGGCTCCCGGGGAGCTGAGTTGCCCACTGCTGGGCTGGCAAAGCTGGCAGGCATCTGGGTCTCCTCCTCCAAATGGGACCTCCCCACTGAACCACCGGCTGTAATGAAGAAGGAGCCTGGGGTTTAGTCCAGGCTGCTGGGAGGGATGTTCGTGGTCAGAGACTTCCTCTCTGGAAGGACCTCTCTAAATGGAGACTCTTGCACATCAGTTATCATAGAATTACAGAATGGTTTGGGTTGAAGGGACCTTAAAGCCCATCGAGTCCCCCCCTGCCCTGGGCAGGGCCACCTCCCACCAGCCCAGGTTGCTCCAAGCCCTGTCCAACCTGGCCTTGAACACCTCCAGGGATGGGGCAGCCACAGCTTCTCGGGGCAACCTGCCCCAGTCACCACCCGCATAGGAGAGAATTTCCTCCTCAGATCTCATCTCAGTCTCCCCTCCGTCAGTGTCAAACTGCTCCCCCTGGTCCCATCGCTTCAGGCCCTTCTAAAACATCTGTCCCCGCTCAGCGATTTCGAGTGCAGCTCGGGGAAGGGACGCACTGCAGCCGGCTTGGGGGAGCTGCGTGCGCTGCGGCAGCCCGGGCTCTCTTTAGCTGAAAACTGGTTGAAAAACTCCAAACCAGTAAAACCAGGACTGTTACGTATACCGGCAGATTGGCGTGGACATATGGTGGAAGGATGCTTCTGCCTAAGGTTTTCTTTAATTAGTAATTAGTTCCTTGTTGTCCCATTGCCTTCATGATGCGGCGATGCTGAGAGCACGCCGGAGGACTTTCTGCCGGTCTGGGCTTTTCACAGGGGCTGAGCAAGGTAGCTCAGCAAGCGGTGGTGGTCCTGCTTTGCTGTGTGCCATCGCTAACGGCGCCAGCTCCATGGTTCCTCCAGGCGGGTTTTGCAGTGCAGACTGGTGGTTTCTGCACCGTCTGCCCCACCGGGTCCAGAACCCCACTAGAAGTGGCTGTGCCAGGCGGGAAAGCAAACCTGCATTCTTCTACTTGTCTTCTTTCCTGCTCCGTGTGCTCTCGCGGTGGGCGGGTGCTCGGCTTTGGCCCCTAAGGATGCTCCGCTTGTGGGAGCGGGTCCTCTGGGCACTCGTCCCTGGAGGA